TTAATGTGACTCGGAGGAAGGAACATTTTGTGCTCCTCTGCCACGTGAAGGTGGGGTGGGATCGTGGCCTCTGCTTGATGTGACAGAACTCACCCCACAGATGAAACAGGACACTTCATCCCACAGACACTGCAATGAAACAGGACACTCACCCCTCACCCCAAACACTTCCCCTCTCCCTCTGCCTCCTCCCTGCTTTTACGTGTAAGAACAAGTGACTTCCCCCTCTGATGTGCAACAGAGACACACCAGGGCTGGAGGAGCTCTTTGGGATCCCCCAAAACCATCACAGTCACCCCCCAGCCACGGCCCCAAGGGCCACATCCAGACACCTCTGGGACACCTCCAGGGCTGGGCACTCCAAACCTCCCTGGGCAGCCCCTGCCAAGGCCTCACCACCCTTTCCAGGAGGAAATTCCTCCTCCTGGCCAACCTGAGCCTCCCCTGGCACAGCTGGAGGCCGTTCCCTCTCCTCCTGTCCCTTGTTCCCTGGCAGCAGAGCCCGACCCCCCCCCGGCTCCCCCCTCCTGTCAGGGGGTTGCAGAGCCAGAAGGTCCCCCCTGAGCCTCCTTTGCTCCAGGCTGAGCCCCCCCAGATCCCTCAGCCCCTCCTGCTGCTCCAGACCCTTCCCAGCTCCGTTCCCTTCCCTGCACACGCTCCAGCCCCTCAGTGTCCTTACTGTGTAATGAATTGTGACCTGACCTTCCAAAAGAACAGACAGCCCTTCAACTCCCACCCTAATTTACCCAACATCCATTTCCCTAAACAGATGAGGGGCTGTTTCCACCCTGATCTTTGCAGAAGGGCCCCGTCTGCTGTGGCTTGGAAACGTTCACAAGGACAAGACCTGAAGAGACACAGGGAATGGCTTCCCAGTGCCAGAGGGCAGGGATAGATGGGATATTGGGAAGGAATTCCTGGCTGGGAGGGTGGGGAGGCCCTGGCCCAGGTTGCCCAGAGAAGCTGTGGCTGCCCCTGGATCCCTGGAAGTGTCCAAGGCCAGGTTGGACGGGGCTTGGAGCAACCTGGGCTGGTGGAAGGTGTCCCTGCTCATGGCAGGGGTGGCACTGGATGGGCTTTAAGGTCCCTCCCAACCCAAACCTTCTGTGATTCCATGAACTCCAGCCCATGGCCCAGGGCAGGGCACTGGGGGTTGTCCTGAAGCTCCTCTGCCTCAGCAAGACCAACTCAGACTTTGCCCTCTCCCCTCCCTCACATCTGTCCCTCCCTGTGAAACCTCCTTCCCTCTGCCTGGAATTCCTCCCTCTTCCCATTCCTGCTGCCCAAGGGTGGCCTCTGCCCCAACACACCTGAGCTGGTTTCACTTTCTTCTTCTTGCACTGGGAAGCGGCTCCAGCGTTTAACAGAAACAGAAACTCTTGGCACTAAATACCTAAACTAATCCTATAGCAAAACTGAAATCAAAAACACCCCAACTAAACACCTCCCCCAACTTTCAAACTGCATATGAACAGGTGCAGACTCAAACAATTGCATTTTAGAGCACGATTAAATTCCATCTCTGACAGTTCTGGTAATGCTAAACGTTAACAAAAAGTGATCATACCTGAGAACTTGATGAATTTTCCCAGAAAACGAGATTATATTTAAAGCTTAGGTCATTTAGCCACATTTTTTTGCCCTGATTTGCTTCTGGAGGAGAAACCCTGATTTTTATGTCTCCATTTGCGGGCTGCAACTCTATTCCTGGTGGACCAATCTGAGCTGGAAATATGGAAAGAAAAACACAGTTAAGCACAACTACCTAGAGGAAAAACGTCCCAAAAGTAGCTGACATCAATAAACCCACAGTACCTGCCTACAGAATCTTATTTTTGATTCTTTTGAGGCAGTAACAAGATCACAGTGATCACCTACAGGGTCTCAGTTTTCATGGCTCTCAGGCAGTTTCTAATAGAAATCCAACCTAAAGACCAACCACCATGACCTGGTTCTAAAAGCAGCTAAAATGCAATAATAGCAGCAAATGTTTTCCAAAATCTGCTGTAAAGATCAGTATAAATTATTCTAAAAAAAGGCAAGAAATGTGGCTCAGACCAATAAATCCAACACTGAGGGAAGGCTTCAGTACTGCACTGGAACTGCTGAAAAGTCACAAAGTCAGGAGAAAATTTCCAGCAGAAAGGAGCTTGGAGTGATCTGGGCCATGGCAGGGGGGGAACTGGATGGGCTTTAAGCTCCTTCCCAGACTGGGATTCCATGAAACCAGCATCACTTACAACATTCTCCCTTCCCAGGAAAGACAGGATTGCACCTTCCATGACTTGTGTTATGTTCCAGCTGAGGAAACCACCACATCCTGCTGTCATGGGCAGTGGGAACCACGTTTGTTCCACAATCCCAGAATCCCAGACTGGTTTGGGTTGGGAGGAACCATAAAGCCCATCCAGTGCCACCCCCTGCCATGGGCAGGGACACCTTCCACCAGCCCAGGTTGCTCCAAGCCCCGTCCAACCTGGCCTTGGACACTTCCAGGGATCCAGGGGCAGCCACAGCTTCTCTGGGCAACCTGGGCCAGGGCCTCCCCACCCTCCCAGCCAGGAATTCCTTCCCAATATCCCATCCCACCCTGCTCTCTGGCAGTTTGAAGCCATTCCCTGTGTCCTGTCCCTCCATCCCTTGTCCCCAGTCCCTCTCCAGCTCTCCTGGAGCCCCTTCAGGCCCTGCAAGGGGCTCTCAGGTCTCCCTGGATCCTTCTCTTCTCCAGGTGAACCCCCCCAGCTCTCCCAGCCTTTCCTCCCAGCAGAGCTGCTCCAGCCCTGGGATCCTCTTGGGGCCTCCTCTGGACTCTCTCCAGCAGCTCCATGTCCTTGCTGGGCTGTTCCCCAGGGCTGGAGCAGCTCTGCAGGGGGGTCTCACCCGAGGGGGCAGAGGGGCACAATCCCCCCCTGCCCTTCTGTGTAAAGGACATTTAACTGCAAACCCCACACCCAGTAAAGGACATTTAAGTGCAAACCCCACACTGGGCTCGTACCTTCGTGCTCTGGAACCATCTCCAGGACCCTGGACCAGGGGGACACTTGTTCCCCTCTCTGAGCCCTGACCCGCACAAAGTGGGTGTCGTAGAACTCAGTGACGGCTGAGGAGAAGTCACACTCTGGGCCAGAGACATTTCCACACCCAGGCAGCTCCTGCCACTCTGCTCCACTGCCCTCTGACCTGCAAGAGAGGGAACAGCCCCAAATCAACACCAACCCACAGTTTAAACCTTGGCATTATTTTTCTCTTCTTCTTTATCTCTTTTTATTTCTCTTCTTAACCTCTTTTTTTTTCCTCTTCTATTTAATCTCTTATTTTTTCTCCTCTTTAATAACACCCCCCCACTAATGCTGTTCAATCCTCAGGACCAGTGTATATGAATATATGAATTCTCCTGGAATTCATATCACCATATCATGAATTCATTTTAAACTATTAATTTACTGGTTAACAATCAGCCTGCAAAGCCTGACAGCACTTTGCTTTATGAAGACACGGGGTCAGAAAACACCATCAAAGAACTGCCAAATTATAGAATTATGTCAGAATTTTTACAGAATTATTTATCCAAATTATAGAATT